CCCCCCTGGCCCCCCGCATCCCTGGCGCAGGGCTGGGAGCTGGGAGCTGGGTCTGTGCCATCTTCTCTCCATCTGCTCCTGATGACGCTGGCGGGTTTTTTGGCAGCGGGTGCCTCCTCCGGCAGCGAGAGCAGAACCAGTCTGGCTGCCTGGTGGGACTGGAGACAAATAAACACGCCGGCAGCCGCCGCGGGCAGGCAGGAGCGGGCAGCATTGGGGCAGGGATGGGCTCCCAGCACCCCAAAAATCCCAGGATCCTTCCTGGAGTCGCGTGGGCTCGAGGAGGGAGCTCGGTATTGCTGTTGGCTGCCCTCCCGGTCCCCGCTGCAGGCAGCTGCCGGGAAATGTGGCGCAGGCAGGTTTAGCACCTTGGTTTCAGCCCCCCCCCAGCACCTTGAAAGGCCCCTAATGAGCATGGAGTGCCCTTCAGAGCAGATTGCCATTGAACTCAACCTGCACCAGCCGCCCGCTTTAAAAGCAGCTATTTTGAGCTCCCGGGCTCCCAAGCACTGGAACTAATAATTTATTACCAAATACGATCAGGCAGCAGCTCCAGCCCCTGGCAAATGGAGCGGAAAAAAACCCAGCGCGGCGGGAGGCCGAGGGAGCAGGGAGAGATGAGCATCCCGCATCCTCCCCCGGGACGGATCCGCACCCACCGCAGCACCTCGGCTCCTCCACGCTGGCCCTAGGTGGTTCCCCAAGGAATCTGGGGGGATGTTCCGTGGCGTGAGGTTCCCCCCTCGAGCTTTTCCTCCCTCTCTCAGCTCCTCGGCTCCCGCTCCGGAGCCGCATCCAGCTGCACGCTCCGAGCGGGAACAGCTGCTTTACATGGATTTTCAATGCTAATGGCCTCGCATTGTCACCCCCCCCCTTCCCTGCCAGCCCTCCTCACACACTCCCCACGCTGCTTGAATGCAGCAGGCAGGGCCCTGGCGGCTGCCTGTGCGGGCAGGAGGGAGGGCAGGCAGCCAGGGGCAGCACGTGCCCATCGTCCCCCCACCATGCACCCCGTCACCCCTCGAGAGCCAGCAGGCAGGGGACAGGCAAGGGACAGGCAGCGGGGACCACCTCCCCTCCCAGTGATGTCCGCAGAGCCACCGACACATTTTACACGCGCACACGCGCACACGCACACACACACACACACCCCTCGCTCCGTTACGCCACGCTCCATTAATTAATTAATTGATCGCTCGGAGTCTGCACTTTCCCTCCCCACTGCCCAGCGCGCAGCCGAAACGGAGGGAGGTGGCCAGGCTCAGTGTCCCCAAGTGTCCCCAAGGATGGAGAGGTGCAGGCGCAGCCCCTGCCCAGTTTTAACCTCCTCAGGGGAGAGCCCAGGACCCATCTCAGGAGCATCCCCCATGTTGGCCAGCGGCCCCCCAGCACCCTTGGAGGGGTCCAGATGGGTCCCCGGGAGTGAGGTGGTCCTTGCCGGTGAGGGATGGGATTTGGGGTTCCCCGGGGAGCCCCGCACGGCACCGAGCATCCAAGCGCGCGGCACTATTAGCCGGCTGGGTCTCCATCGATCACTCCTCCATGGACCATTGATCTGGCAAACGACAACAAGCAAACTAATAAGAGCTCGTTTGGAGGGCGCAGCGCCAGGGAGGGGCCAGGGCCGGCGTGATGCAGGATTATTTTTCTCCCTTTCTTGCCTTCCCGTGCCCAGCCCAACCAGCCCTGGGTGCTTTTTATGTCCGCAGGAAATCAGGCTGGGGAAAGATACACTTCAAAGCAACTTTCTTCCCTGTTTTTGCCCTGGCAGAGTGAACTGGGGGCTCTGAAAATAAAGTGCTTGTGCCCAAGGGATGCTGCTGGCCCTGAGCTCCCCCCCTGGCAGCATCCAGGTTGGACAGTGGTTCATTTTGGCACCCAATGCCTGGATCCGGGGGCCAGGCTGCCTCTCGAGGGGCTCCCCGGGCTTTGGCAGAAGTGGGGGTACAGCCCCCAGCCCTCCCCTTAGCATGAGGGGCTGAATGGCTGCGTGGAGCATGCGGGTGGGTGCCAGGCATCAGGCAGCCCTGCTGGGCACTGCACGGGGCTGCTGGGCATTACATGGTGCTGCTGGGCATTGTACGGTGCTCCTGGGCACTGCACGGTGCCAACCAGGCAGCGAACAGTGCTGCTGGGCATCGTGTGGGACAGGGCTGGGCACTGCAGGGGGCTGCCAGGCGTTATTTGGTGCCGTTGGGCATTACATGGCCCTGCTGGGCACTGCATGCCTGGTATTGAACAGTGCCACTGGGACTCGTGTGGGACAGGGCTGGATGCTGCCAGGCGTTATTTGGTGCTGCTGGGCATGACATGGCACTGCTGGGCGTTATTTGGTGCTGCTGGGCATGACATGGCACTGCTGGGCATTATTTGGTGATGCTGGGCATTATGTGGCACTGGTGGGCACCACACAGTACCACCAGGCATTGAACAGTGCCACTGAGCATCGTGTGGGACAGGGCTGGGCACTGCCAGGCGTTATTTGGTGCTGCTGGGCATTACGTGGCACTGCTGGGCACAGCACGGCGCTGCCAGGCATTGAACAGTGCTGCTGAGCATTGTGTGGGACGGGGCTGGGTGCTGCCAGGTGTTATTTGGTGCTGCTGGGCATTACGTGGCACTGCTGGGCATTATTTGGTGCTGCTGGGCATTATGTGGCACTGCTGGGCACAGCACAGCGCTGCTGGGCATTATTTGGTGCTGCTGGGCATTACGTAGCCCTGCTGGGCACCGCAGGGCACCACCAGGCAGTGCCCGGTGCCGCTGGGCACCCCACAGCGCTGCTGGGCATCGCCGGGCGCCTTGCACGGGTGCCACTGGGCACCGCGTGGGTCGCAGCCAGGCGTTGCACGGCGCTGCCAACCCTCGCACGGCGCTACCGGGGCATTGCACAAGCCAGGAGCGGGCAATGCCCGGCGCAGGCAGGCTGCCCTCCCGTGCCTGTACCCGTGCCCGTGCCCGTGCCAGCAGCTCGGTGCAGCCGTGCCGCGGGCAGCGCAGGCTTTGCCGTCAGCGGCGCATTGTTCTCGGTGCGAGAAGCCCTTGCCCAGCAGATGGCAGGTATAACAAAGCAGCTTGCTGCGGCCAAGCCAATTATTTATCTAATTATGATTTACCACTTAACCACATGATCTTTCTGCAGAGTTGTGGGCAATTAAAACCAGGGTGATTATGTGGATTATGCAAATCGGCTGGAGCCGAGCGAATAAAATTGGAGATTAGAGTTTCACGCAGGCTGGATCTTGCATGGGGCAGGTCCTGGCGGGGCAGGGGGGAGGCAGGGGCAGGGCAGGGGGCTGCAGGCAGGGCTGGGGGGGCCACGACCCACCTGAGCGGGGGGCTGTGGGGCAGAGTTAGGAGGTGCCAGGGCAAGGCGAGGGGCTGCCACTCGTCACTCCGCTGCCTTTGAGGTGCTGCAGTCCCCCTCCCGCAGAGCCAAGGGGATCCCCAGCCTAAAGCTGCCCCCCATCACGGGGGTGGGTGCCCAAGGGGACCCCGCACCGCTGGGGGAAAGCAGCCACTGACTCAGTCGGCACCAGGGATTTCCCAGCTGCATCCCAAAAAGGTGGAGGGGGGGGTTAGACAGCACAGCCCCCACCCCTGGCCCCCTCTGCAGGCAGCTAACGAAGGGCTCCGGGGGTGACGGGTATTAATAACGGGTATTAATAACGAGTATTAATAATGCTGCCTGGCAGATTACTCTGCCCACCCGGCTTGATATGAGATTTATGCATGGCGTGAACTCCGGAAATACAGAAGTATTAATGGTAATACCTCGTGTCCTAGCAAAGGTCACGGGCAATCTCCATCAATCCCACTGCGCCGCCGGCAAAGCCGGGGGTCCAGGCGGGATGAGGGGTCCCCCCCGCGCTCCCGGGGTCCCCCCGTGCGCACGGCAGTGCCGTGGTTTATGGCCGTGCAGATGGCCCAGCACAGGCCAGAGGGAAGGTTTTACCTTGGGATAAGAAATTAACGCTGGCAAACAGCGAATTTACTGCCTGTATTTTAATTTTCCTAATACCGGCGCCATCTGCTACCGATCGGTGCCCCACGTCACCGGCGTTTTAGTTACAAGATGCTGTGGAGATCTTGGCAAGACCTTGGCGTGCTCCTCACCCGGGAGCCCCAGGTCCCCTTGCAACGTCCCACGGGGTCCCCAAGGTCCCACCACCGCCCCGATGGGTCTCACCCTTCCCATGAAGCCCCCCAAGAAATAGGCACCAG